GCATCGGAGTGTCTACCCCGAGTTCCACCTCGGGGCTTTGCAGGTCATTCCGAAGTGCGAGTGCGGACTGAAGAAGGACTTCTGGTTTGGTGCAATTACAACACTTCAGTTGTTTTTGGCGTCGATTTATTATTATCGATTTCGGTATAAATCGAAACACACATATTACTTTTACCCAATTTCAGGGATGGAGGATGAGAATCACCCTTGATCTGATTTCTCTTTGTAGTAAAAGTAGGTTTAGAGAACCAACAAGGTGGTGAGGTAATTAGAGAATCATTAGTGGCATGGGGACAGGGACAGAAACAGTGACAATGAGGGAATTAGAACGGTGGCAAAGGGATGAGAAGAGGGACAAGGAGTTAAAGAGTTGAAGTGGATGAACGTGAAGAAAAGGAGTACAGTTAAGAAATAAGTCAAAAGAAGGAAAAATGAAACAAATTATCTAAGGTTATTTAGGAAACCAAGCACTATTACTTCTCTCACCTCAAAAAAAAAAAAAAAAAGGGAAGGATGAGCTTTTGGTTATCATTTGGCTTAGTGGTGCAAATGTGCAATCAACTGTTTCTAAGCAAGCATCTGGCCCTTAATGGTCTTTGACCACATGAAGATGCACTTCCCTCCCCCCTTGGTAGGGTTCAAGCCGGTCCCATGTAATATCATTAAAAAAAAAAAAACTGTTTCTAAGCAAAGTACTAAAAGTAAAATAAATTCAAAATAAAAATAAAAAAGAAAAGGGATGGCCTTTGGGGTTATTATTGGGCTTAGTAGGGGCGGTTAATGATTTCTAGGCCCAAAAACAGTAGGCCGCATCGCTTGGACTTTGGTGACTACCGAAATCCGACTGACCTTGCACTATCAGCCGGCTAACCGAAACGACTGACCTCACACTATGGTTGTAATACGGCTTAATTTAATAAATAATTTAGTAATTTTTGTTTTTTTTATTTTGTCTGTTACTTTTAAAAAAAATTTTAATTTATCTATAATTTTTTTATTTTTAATTTAATTTAATTTAATTTGTTAACTCTTTAGTAGTAGTTTTATTCTATTTGATCAAATTGATCATTAATTATATCTTTTGTAAATTTTTATTATTTGAAATTAATTTTAAAATAAAGCTAATTTTATGAGAATGGTAAATTTTTTTTTATTATTTAAAAAATTATAATATTTATCATATACTATTTTAGTTTTTCTTTTTGACAATTTTTCTTTTACAGCTGAAATCATAATTATTAACATATATTAATAGCTTACATAATTTGTCATGAATTATTTTATTAATTGGAATGACTCTATTTTAATTTTGATTTAACTTTTATATTTTTTTGTTAAAACTAACAAAAATTTTGCTCAATAAACTATTTTAAAATATTTTACAAAATTTATAAAATATTTTAAAAAAATAAAGTTTCTAAACTAAAATGAAATTATATAAATAGTTAATAAGCCAATCATTAAAATCTAATACCAACTGACCTTGCACCATCAGTCAGCTAACTGATCGACATGGAACCCCCCATGGGATGGAAGCATTAGGTCAATGTCAACTACCAATAGCTTGAGGTAAAGTTTCGTTATCTAAACACAAGGGTGTAAAAAATAATGAAATGATTAAAAAAATAAATAATAAATTTTATTAATTAAAAAGGAATTTTTTAAGGTAAAAAATATTATTTTATTAAAATAAAAGAATTAAAATAGAGTTTTAATAAAAAAAGAACTTCATCAAGAAAAAAATAATAATTTTATTAAAATAAAAAAACTAAAATAAAATTTTAACCGAGAAAGAACTCCATGAGCCAGCTTGCTGATCCTGTTTTCCCTATCACCAACATCACAGCTATCCAAAATCTTCTGAATCTTTGGCGCAGGTAAGTTTAACTCCATATCAGAAGAAAAACAATAATAATAATAATAATAATAATAATAATAATAAATAAATAAATAAATAAATAAATAGAGGACTTATTTCCCTTTTCTGAAGAAAAAGAAGCAAAAAATTATCCATCATAGAGATACCAACAATTCCCTTGAAAATTTTTACCACAAACCCTCATGTATGTTCTAAAAACCCACATGCAGGATAACAATTTTTTTTTTTTAAAATGGTGATTTGCCACAACTCGAAGCCTTCAGAGGCCGAGGAGATGCACATGTTGAAAATGACTTGTCCCTTCAAAGTTCTTCATGGCTAGCACTAATTGTTAAATGCAAAATGTAGATGTCACATTCATTGTATAAGATGAAATAAAGGACTCAAAAGCATAACCAGCTCATAATGTGATAATATAAAACCCATATCTTTAGGTATATATAACTCATTTTTCTTACAATAATTCATAGCAAAAATACTGCATTCATACTATTTTTCTTTTTTTAACAGCAAGGATGTTTTAGTATTAAAATTAAAAAATTCATGAAAAATTATCTTTCTTTTTTTTCAAAAAATAAAACCTTAATTAGTAAGATAAAAGTAAACCTCTTAATCAATTAAATCTCAGTGCGGTTTTACAAAATGTATGTACTAAATAAAATATTTAAACGTAACAAACAATAGACTACGATGAGATAGAATAACTAAGATAATTAAATATTAGAAATACTCCAACTTTTCAGGAAAGCCAGTAATTTCTTCCATAACACCATTTCTACGCCTTCAGGCAGTCTGTGAGATGTTGGGGCAAAAAGGAAAACAGAACACAGCTGTGACTTGCAAGACTCCCATTATAACTCGACCCAATTGGCGGTTAATTAAAACCCAATCCAGCACAAGGGCAACATCAAAAGATTGATGCCCGTTAAAAGAACAGGGGACTACTCAAAGAAGCAATTATGAGTCCGCATTTTGAAGAGACCCTTGGTAATTTCAACAACTCCTCAGTGATCTTCAACTGTTGCTCCTTTGTCGCTACAATATGAATTGTCATCTCCTCTAGAATCTTAGCATTACTTAAAAAGTACTCAACCATTTTCATACAGGCTTCCTCCGCTTGGAATGAAAAGATTTCAATTGTCTTGAGATGAAAGGATTGATATCAAATTCGGTTATGTCAAGCTCTTGAATACTATGCCACATTACAGCACGAATCCATCTATCAATTCGTAAAGAGTCGAATTGTGGAGTACCAATACGGCCATTATAATGAATGCACTTGAGACGAAATCTAACTGCAGATCTTCTGTTATGGAAGAGCAATACTCTATCTACGAAATTCATCAGTTGATTCACACTTGAATCATCACCGTAATCAGGCCGCAACTCAAAATCAAGGTTAGAAACCAGAGTGTAAAGGTACCTCCACCTTCTTGACACAAAGGATGTGCGCACTGCATCTTTAGTTGGAAGGAATGAGAGGGTGTGGCAAATGACTTCATCCGTTAAGGAATTGATGCTTTCCACACTGTTCACCACCCGTTTGGCTGCCATTAAGATAGTAAAGATTTCTTCGGCATCAATTCAGGAAAGAAAAAGAGAGATAATAATACTAATTGCTGCGGAAGTGTATAGACGGAGGCGAGCAGTTGGTGTTGATACTTGATATAGTGAGGGTTTCTCCCAGAATCCCCAGTTATCTTGTACGGTTAATGGGCTGGGGTTTCGGAGTTGTTTCATAAGCTTAGAAACGATTGCCAGCCTCTGTTAAAGTGGCCGGAAAGGGAATCAAATCGTCGGACCTGAGGATCGGAAGCTTCTGCTTCAGTTTTGGGACGAGCAAGGAAAAGGAGAACGGAGAAGAGTCTCGTTCTCGTCAGTCAGCGTCAATTCTCAATCGATTACCGATCGAAATCGAAAAATCATTTTGAGACTTTGAGTTCGATTCGGGTCAGTGGATCACCCGACCCACCCATCGCCTCGAGTCTTGAGTCTCGGTCTCGATCCACTATGTTCTGTAGACTAAAACCCTAAAAATGGAAGGGCTCGGATAATGCTAAACTCAGTTGGGCTTTAATGAGCTTGCAATTCTTTATGACTTGCTTCTTTGGCCCATTGGACTTGGTTTGTTTTTTTTTTTTTTTTTTTTTGGGACCTTGTGGCAATGGGGGCATTTAGGGGTGAATATTTGCTTATGGATTGGATGGAGTTATATTTAATATTTGAGTTAAAAATTTTTAAATATAATTTTTTAGACTTGATACTTAGTTAAATACTTGAAGATTTATACTTGTATTTAATCCAATAAATATCAGGTAATTTGTGAGTATATATTTGTGTATTTGACGTAAAGAAAGAAAAGATTTTATATAAGTTGCTATTACTATACGTGTCATGTGTTTGGTTTAGAGTTTATTATTTATATAAGTTGTTATTATTATGTGTGTAATATCTTTGGTTTTAGATTTATTTATGTATTTTATTATTTTTATTTTTAAAAATTATTATTATAATATAGATATAAAATATAATAAGTAAAATTTTAGTTATACAAATACAGATAACAAGTTAAATAAAGTTGCGGCATGGTTGCTAGTTTTCATCTTGCTAGTTGGTGAGTTTTCAAGTGATAGTTAAGTTAGTTTAGTTGGTTATAAGAAATGGAAAGGAAGGAAACATTAAGCTGGAGTTATGAAGTGATTAACGAATTTTAAGTTTTAGTTGAAGTATAAATTTGTTGATGTATCTATCTTTGGTGAGAAGGCTCAAATGAAATAAGGAGATAAATGGTTAATCAAGACACTGAAGTAGAGTTGATCTTGTTTTTGATAGAGTTTGAGTCATTATAAAAATGACGGAAGTAAAGATAGCGGTTGGTGTAGTATTAATTCGAAAAAATTCGTGATTTGACACTCACATCTTGTTAATCTGGTTACTGTTGCTCATTATCTGTGCTGCTCACATGGCATTTTATGGGGCCCATGACATTGAAAAGGTTAAATGCTAGATTTGGTCCCTTAACTTTAGTGAGTTGCACATTTTTGGTCCCTTAACAATTTTTTGCACTTTTTTGATCCCTTAAATATACGAAATGCACTCCGTTAGTACTTCTGTTAATTTCGATTGTTAACTCGCTTATGTGGCATTTTTAATAATTTTTTTGATAACGTGGCAAAAACAAATTGAAAACATGTTAGACGTGGAATTTTTTTTTTGATGATGTGGCAAAAACAAATTGAAAACATATTAGACGTGGAATTTTTTTTATGCCAACTCAATTATTACTATTTATATTTTTAAAAAATAAAATAAAATAATTCGTTAATCTTCTTCCTTTCTCTTTTTCTTTTTTTTCTTCCTCTTCTTCCTCGGGTTATTGAACCCAGAGCTGGGTTCCATCGAACCAACCCTGGGTTCGGTGGAACCAAGTGCTGGGTTTCGTCGAACCCAGGGCTGGGTTCGCTGGAACCCAGAACCCAGCTCCACTTTTTTTTTTTTGTGTTTATATGATTGTTTGCCAAGAGATTATTCAAATTGCAGGTTGTTGCGAGTGATTTTTGGACAATTGAGTTAAGTGAATTAAGCTGGGTTTGATGGAACCTATTTGCTGGATTATATCGAACCCAAATTTGTTGGGTTCCGTCGAACTTCCGATGGGCAAAGATGCAATTGTTAGTGGTAATGTGGGACCCATTTAGATGGATTTAGTGTGTTTTCGCTAGGTAGCATGTGACATGGAAAAAGTTTTATCCATGTCATTACTTTTTGAAGTTTTACTCTCCACATCATCAAAAAAAATATAAAAAATGCCACCTAAGCAGAGTTAACAGCCCAAATTAACAGAGGGACTAACGGAGTGCATTTCGTATAGTTGAGGGATCAAAAAAATGTAAAAATTTGTTAAGGGATAAAAAATGTTTATTTCTTAAAGTTGAGGGACCAAATTAAGCATTTAACCAATTGAAAATAGAGGGATAAAGTTGCCGCATGGTTACTAGTTTTCGCAATAAAATTAGATAAACAGGTTACAGGAACGGCTTGCTCCGATCCAGTAACATTAGATTTTGGGTTAGGGTTGTTCACTTGGGATGGGTTGCACATTCAAGTCTCACGAAATCCTTTTCTTCTCTCTCTCAATTAACCCCATAAATAATTACAAATTGTTTAACAAAAAAAAACAGTAAAACGGGTTACCAAATGAAGAAAGTTCCATGAAGTTGTCTCGTTCCAAGGTCCCGTTGAAAAAATAAAGGAGAAAATTTCCACAAGATCGAAGTCCATTATTTCCCATGGCTTTATAAATGCCGTGCAGCCTCATGCCTTCATATCCATGGATCTTTATTCTTTCTTAATCTTACGCCTTCATATCTATATATCTTTGGTCTTGGTCATTTTTATTTTAGGGAATTCTTTGGATCTTTGTTGAATTCGAATCTCTATGGATGGGTCTTGCATTTCTCTGGCTATGGGTTCCTCTTTTGACAGTTCTTGATTTACTAAGATCTAAAGCTTTGTACCACGAAGTCGGCTGTGTTCATCAAGATGTCTTCTTGAATTTTGCAAGTTTTAGATCTTCGCAAAACTCTTTTCTTTGATCGACTTCTTTTCCTCTGATATACTTCGAAAAAGTTTGAAAATTAGATTTCTTCTCTCGAATTACCTTTCCAATTCAAGGCCAAGAGAAAGTTTGAAAGCAAGGGAAAATGCCACCTCCGGTTTCCCGTGTCCAAAGGTATTCTACCATGGGAGGGAAAGAGAGAGGGGAAGGGTAGTCGTTGAGCCAAAGCTAAATCCCTAACTCTACTTGCTATTTGATGCAGTATAGATTTATCTTTTAAAAAAAAAAAAGATAAATTATTATTTTAAATTATTAATTAAAATAAATTATTTATTTTTTTATGTGTTATATTGTTAAATTTAAATTTATTTTAGTTATGAATTTTTTTACTCACTTCTAATTTTAATAATTTAATAATTGTAACTTTTAATGCCACTGCCATATCATTTGTCCTTAACTATATTGTTCGTCCAATTATTTTCATTGAGTCTAAAATTGCTCAAAATAGAATTAAGGAAATAATAGTAACACTCAATTTGTTTTGGTTTTTATAATTTGTTGTCCACAAATATGAGGAGGTATTAATTATACTTTTTATTATAAAATAAAAATTAATTTTAATTTTATAAATTATTTAATTAAAATGGTATGCATGTTTTTAATATTAAAAATAAAGTTTAGATTCTATTTAATATAATTGTGTTTTTAGATTTTTAATTTTAATTTTTATAAATTTTAAAACTTAAAAAATTATTTTTTTAATGTATTTTTACAAT